AGCCACCTCCCCGGCCCCTAGTGAAATTTTCTTTACCTTTTCTGCCTATGATTTGGATTTTTTTAACAACGTGACTATGTGTATGTATTTCTGTATAATAAATACAAATGACTATAATTACAAATAAATTCACAATTAATATTGCATGTATATTAATATGTATTATTACACATGCAATAAATTTTACAAAATATATACATAATATATAAATTATGACAAATAAATATAATTTGTGTTTTAAAAGTGAAAATCAAGCTGGGTGTGGTAGCTTATGCCAATAATCCTAGCACTCGAGAGGCAGAGGCAGGAGAATTACTGTGAGTTCGAGGCCAGTGTGGGTCATAGAGTGAGTTCAAGGCCAGCCTGAATTGCACAGGGAGACCCTGTCTCAAAGACTAAAAAACAAAAGTGAAAATGATGCTCTAGTTTCTCTTCAGATTGCATACAAGTAAAAATCATTTTAAAATATACTTATTACAGCATAGTTTAAAATAACAGAAAATCTAAAAAGAACATTACCCTAAGAAATAAGCCAATGACTTTTTCCTTTATTATTAATTTTTGTCTAGATTGTGTTTTACATATGATCTTAGCGGAAAGGCAAAGAAGCAGTTATATATTATGGGATTTTTGAGGGGTTTTGCATATTATGTTTTAACGATATAGATTTATGAATTCTGCATGTTTCTTATTTCAACTTTTTTTTGGCTGTGTGTGGTACCAGGGATTGAACGCAGGACCCTGCACTTGCTAGACAGGCGCTTATTCTACTGAGCTATCTCCCTGGCACTCAATCATTTTTTAAAACCTTTCTTGACTTAGAGCCTTCAACTCATTAGTCAGTACAAGTTCAAATTTCCTCGAGGAAATAAGGCTATTTAAAACGTTGATACAATCATGGTCTTTGAAAAACATTTCCAGAAAGACTGTAAGAACCCTAATGGCATGGACCTGTGTAATTGTACTGTTGCTGTGTTCTGCTATTAGATACACCTACGGCAAGCCTGTGGAGGGCAACGTGCACCTCAGAGTGTCCAGAGAATCCACTTTCTATGGTGACTGTAGACATCTCTATTCAATCTATAAAAATTTTACAGTTCAGGTAAGAGGAATATCTGCAAAATCATACATGAGATTGTACCCACCTCATATCCTCAGTTTGACTACCAATAAGGATTACTTTTCTGAAATGCATAAGAGGAAGGATTTCCTAAAAAGATTCACTTACAAAGTTTGAGAACCAGGTTCAAAAAGTAAATACAAAAGCATTGATCGGAGATAGAGCAGCGTTTCAGTTGCAATTATGCCAGTTAAAAATCAAAGTAATATGTAAACTGCCAGCTGCCATCCCTACATCATAAACAGTGTGATACCATTTACACACACACACACACACACACACACACACACACATATGCACACAGATGTAGTTCTATTTTCTCTCAAGAACATTCAACATTGCATGAGGTGTGGGTCAATCGCAGGACCTCCACCATGTGCTAGACAATGAATGCTTTACCAGTGAGCTGTATCTCCAGTTGCTCTGGAGAAGACTGTTGGATAAAAAAATATGAGTTTTCTCATGCTTAAATTCTAAAACTATATTTGGACATTAAACAAAACCAACAGTCACTGTGATAATAATCGCTAATAATAGTAATAGCTTCTAGTACTTATGGAATGGTTAGTATTAGACATTGTGTTAAGCATATTGCAGACCTGAAAAATAGATATGGATAAATATGGTTGAAACTAAGAGAACTACAAACATCATGTGAGAATGAATGCAATTGGACATTAATGTGTTTATCTTGTTCACTGATTGAGCAATGACACATTGGAGATTATTTTTAAAGTGTTGTAACAGTTAAAATATTCAAAAAATATTCAAATTTCATGGTAAATATATGAATTGAAATTTTAAATTATAAAAACATAATGAAAAAAATAAATAAATAAAAACATAATGGATTATTTTATAAAATTCACATTTCGGTTGAACAGTTCACTTAAAATTGCTTCTCAAAGGTTACATCTGTCCCTCTAAAACTATTGTTTTATATAGTCTTATTAAAATATAACTTCTCTTCTACCATTATAACCTTTCAGTTGAGGGAAGACGGCTGCGTGTCCCAGTTGATTAACACGGATGTTTTTGAGTTCAATCGGGAAGGATACATGAGTTACCTGGAAGTGCAAGCTCTTGTCACAGAGAGTGGAACAGGTAGAACCCCCTGGCCGTCAGAACCCAGTAGACACCCCTCTCCTTTGGACTGCCACCTCGTGGGCAATCACACACTGTTAATTTCTCCCTAAGATATGAGGTCACTTTCTCTGATCCAAAATCTGAGGTTTCTTTAGCTAAAATTTATTAGACACTTATTGGTGGATAGATTAATATTAAATTCAAGTGAGACTAAACTAGAAGTCAGAGTACTAATTTATTGATGTACAATGGGATTGTTTCTAGAACTGGTATGTTCTCTTTTTCCAATCATTCCACAAATAAATACAATTGAAAGTATACATATTGATCATGAATCCATATTGGGGTTAAAATCATAACAAGGGAAATACAACATAGTTTTGGGAGAATATCTTGCCAGACTTCTGAAATCTAATGAAATATCTCTACCTCATCACAGAAATGAATTTCTAAACATCAATGTCTTATGTATCTCTGACCTACTATCTCTCCTCCCCTCAGCAGAGAATGAAAAGTTCAAATTCCTGAAATGAACTTTTCTATTCTGACCACTTGCTTCCTTTCACAGGACGCTTTAGCTCACGCGGGTGACTTTTCAGCAAAATTTCTCTGCATGAGATATTAAATGCCAGTATACCTGTATTAATATTCAAAGTCTTTGAAGTGTCTGTCAGGACATACCAAGCTAATTAAAGTATTTAATAAGTATTTAGTGGAAATCAATTATATTTGTCATATTAAACAAAAAAGGATTACCTGGCAAGTGCAAGATCCTGAGTTCAATCTCCAGTACCACAAAAAAAAAAAAAAAAAGACTGCTGGGGAGATAGGTCAGTGGCTTAAACACCTGCCTGCCAAGCACTAGGTCCTGAGTTCCATCCCTGGTTCCAAAAGAAAAAAGAAAAAAAAAAAAAAAGAAGGAACCTGGAATTTATGAATTCCAAATAAATAAATGTTTTGTACATTAAAAAAGAAGGAATATCTCACTGAATAACATTTGTATTTATATGAGGAATATATTATGCAGCCATTAAAAACACAAGATTATAGAAAGGTCTGAAAAACTCAATGTTAAGATGTAAGGTAAAACTACATGTTTTTATACATAGGAATAGCAAATTAGTGTATATGCTTATCTGCATACATAAGCCAAACTATATTACTACAAATGACAATGTAAAGGTTAAAAAACTTGTTAAAATAGTCTAAAATATTAAATTTATTTTTCTTTGGGATGTTTAAAGATTTGCATTATTTTCTTTAAATTTTTAAATTTCTAAATGTATGGCTGTTATTTTTCTTTTTTTAAAGTTAAATTTATTTATTTATTCATTTATTTTTTCCATAATTTTATTGAGAAACAAATAGCAATGAGACAGTTTCAAACCAAACTGGTAGGACAGTTTCAATAATTAACACATTGTATACATTCTTCCTAGTGGTTAATTGCTGCACAAGATGGGGACATGATATCCTATTTACAAACACTATTAGAACAAACCCCTCTATTCACTAAGAGAATGTAACTATATATCTATCCCAACCATTTTGAATACACAGATACAAAATGGACCTTCATCTGTATCCCCGTTTTTCTTAAGTTCCGTTATTTGAATATTATAGGTGTGTTAAAGAATACCATAGGTGCGCTAATGTTATTTTTCTTATTGTGAATAGAACAAAACACATGTTCTAAGCAGAGACTTAACTAAAAATTTTAATTAAAAATTAATAATGGGAAATTAATACTGCTGGAATGATAGATGAATTGGATGGTCTGTAAACACCAAGAACAGCAGCTGAAAATAATGTTATTTAGATGATTTTATCTTTATTCATTTTTTTAAAATAAAACAACATGTTAAGAAGTACCCGTATGTTCAAACTCACTTAAGAAAAGGAAACGATTGGATAGAAAGGAGAACTTCTGTAGCTTTTTTGCTTTTGTAGCTCTGTTTGGTTTTTGTTTGATGATAATTTTCCTAATAACACTTAATTTAACACAGGTGTCCAGATCACAGAAAACAGGAACATATTCATAAACAAATTCATGGTGAAAATGCATTTTGAGAGCATGGATACATTCTACAAACAAGGACTCCCTTACTCAGGCCAAGTAAGAGAAGCAGTGATTAACTCCTTTACATTGTCCTTCATTCGCCCACTCATTCGTCTGTCTTCATTTACGTTTTCGTTCACTTATTCGCCAATCCAATCACTATTTCCTAAGAAGTTACGAGATTAGAAGCCCCTTGTTAGCACTGTAGGACACTATGCTGGTTTTTTCATAGATGATTTTAATCTAGTTTTAGCTATATATCCTGGCCCATTTCACACTGACAACGTCCAAGATTGGAAAATAAATTATGCAATCTGAATCAGAATTAACAATAGCTTGGGACAGGCACCACTCTCCCTGCTCTTGAGGTGCTTATAGTTTAATAGAGAAATCAGGCATTAGACAAATAAAGTTACAGTAATTCAGTTGTAGTCAAGATAGATGCTACAGGGGCCAGCAAAATAGCTCAGCAGTCTAAAGTGCCTGCTTAGGCAAGTTTAGGCAGCCGCAGGAGACCATGATTTGATTTCTGGCACCACATGCTGTGCCAGCCCCACCTGTAGGGCAGGAGAAAGAAAGAAAGAAAGAAAGAAAGAAAGAAAGAAAGAAAGAAAGAAAGAAAGAAAGAAAGAAAGAAAGAAAGAAAGAAAGAATAGATGTTATGTGAGTGAAACACTGACCGTGGATCTACTCCAAATCAGAGATTAGCACAGTCTGCTTCTTATGTAGGACTGCCTCTGTACACCCAGGGAGCTAGGAATGGTTTAACAATTTTAATGCTTATTTTAAAATATCAAAGAAGAATATGAGGCAGACACCATATATGATCTCACAAAGAATAAAGGATTAACTACGTGGGCCTTTATAGAAAGTGTTTGCTGAACTCTGGACTAGATGGTCCTAGAAAGTTTCTCTGAGCAAGTTATATTTATATTAATCCAAGATGTATCACAAATTCTAATTTTTAATTTTTTTGTGGGCTTTTTCCTCTATGGGCGTGGGTGAAAAATCACAAAGTGGTCTCCTGAGCTAGATCGCACGGAGCCGAGGTTCTCAAACTCGACCTTGCACCAGAATGACTGCAAGGACTTGAAAGAAATTTCGGCAATGCCCGTTTTACCAATAAATTTAGTCTTGGTAAATGAAACATTTGGTACAGGATAGTTTTACTTGCTGAGTTTTATGATTATATGATAAATTTGACATCTTTCTCTGTATATACTCTTGCTTGATACATCTCATGCTTTATTATTTGAAAAGTAAAGTTGAGTAATGGTACACTGTTGAAGAATTTAACTGCTTCTTTGGCTACAGAACAACTTTCACTCGACTGAAGGGTTCTATGGTAGACTCCCTGATACTGTTGTTAACCAGATGGTTTCTTGAGTTCCTTATTTCCTGTGGCTTTTTGGTGCTATCTAAAGCTTTCTAAAATACAAAGAGCATCTTATGTAATGATATACCTGAGTGTCTTTCCACACTTACACTCCTGGAGTGAGATCCTGCAGGACATTTCGTTTGTTCGTTTGGCTAAGATTTCCAAATTGAACATTTAGGTTGATTGCGGGTTTCTTGGTCATATTTTGTATACTCTCAGAATCACTACTGCATTTCTTTACTTATCTAGATATTTTTTACATTAATTTGGAGTTTTAAACAGTTCACTTAAAAATGTCGGTTGTGTGGACCTGCTGTCTGAAAGATGTACCACAAATTTTCATTTTTAAGTTGTTTTGTGGGCTTTTTCCTCTATGAGCTTCTCATCTTTATTATTACTTTATTTTATTTTTAATTTATTTTAAACAACTTTTTGCCATTTAATTTTATTAAAAACCTTTCTTCTTTGCAAGCATTTTGTTAGCTCATTACCACATGTACTTCTGCCAAACATCTATGTTTTCAAATGTGCACATTATACAATAGTAGTTTACATACTACAGGTGTTTTTCTGTGTTGTTTTCATTTTGCAAATTATAAGCTATACATAACATAAAATTTACCTTCTTAACAATCTTTAAATTAAAATCATTTTAATTATTTTAAACATATTTTAATTTATTTTTGACGTAAACATTACTTAAGGTTATAAACTATCTTTCACAATATATGCTTTTTCCTGATTTTTTAAAGATCATTATTGGTAGAAGAAATAGAGTTTAGAGTTGTCAATATATTCATGGTATATGTCATACCTTCCAGAGGAGTGGTTGAAGCTACTCAGGAAGTGCACAGAGCCAGAGAGAAATGTTCATAACTTCTGGGTAGATTCCACCAAAAATTGATTTTTAAATTTACTAAATACTTCAGAAATTTATTTTCTTCCCGCTTCACAGATTAAATTGCTTCACCCTGATGATTCTCCCATTCCAAATGAGGTTATCCAGTTGCATTTAGCAGAAAAGAATGTGGGCAACTATACCACAGATACACATGGCATTGCGCGATTCTCCTTGGACACATCCAAGATCACATACCCAAACATCACCTTGACAGTAAGTCGTTCCAGGTCAAGTAAAGAAAAATCAAACCAAAACAAGGTATTAGCTAGCAGTGGTTTAGATATGTGCTATATTGTACATATGGAACAGAAATGATAATATGCATGTTGTTGTGAACCTAGAGTGCTGTGAGGCAGTTAAATGCTAAAGGAATAGTTGTTACAATAAATAAGAAAATTGTATTATGAATGCTATAAAAAGAAGAACACACATACTGAAGTACCTGAAGGAGAAACAACCAAAAATAATCAACATTTCACTCTCCGTAAAAGTAGAAAGACAGTTGCACTTTCATAGGTAGAAACACTTGAGGAACTTTGTAATCTATATCCATGGAATGATTCACAAGACTTCTCTGGCTACATTCAATACTGAACTAACCTACTTTCTAGAACTATCAAATACCAGAGATTCTAAGATATTTTTCAAAAATCTCCTTAGACATGTCTATGGCCATATTTAGAATAATCTCCTTGCTCTATTTCACAAAACCTTTTCCAAGTTTCAACAGGACTCCTTGTTATTAATATAAAATCACCTTCTATATTCACAAGTTTTACATGTGAGAGTGACTCATATACATGACAGTAAAATTAGAATTCTAGTACAGAGTGCAGAAAATATCAGACTTTATATATTAGATCTGAATGGGCAATAAATGTAAAATTCATATAGTGGTCTTCTAAGAATATAACTGGAGCATGGGAGTGATGAAGTAGGATAAAACTCAGGAAGAATGGTCGTGAAACTTTCCTGTAGAGATGGAACAACACTGTAAGACCACTTTATCAAATATTCTTGAGGGCTGGGGAGATAACTCAGTAGAATAAGCACTAGCCTGGCAAGTGCAAGGTCCTGAGTTCAATCCCCAGTACCGCAGAT